CGCGATCGGTCGGGGAAAAAAAAAAAAATTAAAAAGTCAATTATCGTAGGCGATAGAGGACTTGCGTTAATTGTGATTATGTTCATTTTTACGACGAGTATCTGACGATCAGAGAGCGTGGAAGCGATACGGGAGAGTATATACGATTACGTCGCTCGGTAAGGCCGGAGATCCCTCCCCCAACTGTAGTTGTTGCCGGGCGCGCGGAAATATGTATAGCGAGCATTACGGCTAACGTCAAGTTTACGCAACGCGTATTACGTAAGGTGGACGAACGTGTCAGAATACGACCCGGCGGCCCAGAACTCGCGGAAGCGATGCACGCAAATGCCGGCACGTCAAACCGATGCGTTTCGAGACACGGACGCTTTTCCAAGTTTGGATCGTATATACGTCAGAATATTCTTTCTCGCCTTGCGACCGCGCAATTTGCCGGGAGATAACATGGGAACGTGTTACATGATGATGTTACATAATATAAAGATTTACGTTATACAGATAAATTTCATAAATATTGCAAGGAAACGTTAAAATGATACAGATGATATTGAGCGGGAGAGTTGAATAACTATTTTTAAATCTTGTAATCGTAATACGAGATAAAAGCAAAAATCGTAAATCTGTTTCATTAAAAAAAAAAAAACGTATTTTTATAAAAGTGTTTTCGTTTTATAAAATTTAATGAATAAGGTGTGCGTACAGTCGAGAGAAAAATCTTTTTCAGCTGTCTAGATAATACAATGAATAAAAAAATCATTTAAGAGAAAGTCCTTCGAAGAACGAATAGAAGGAATCCTCTTTTAAAAGAAAAGCAAGCTTTCCTGAAGATTTTCCTTTTCTTTCTCTCATACCAATTTCGATCGCAAGAGACAGATCTGCTTATTTTCTCTCTGATCAATAGAAATATGTTATGGATATAGCCACGAAAAAGAAAGTAGTATTTAACAATATTTTTATCATTCATATCTTAAACAAAATAAATTTAAACAATTAATAAAACTTTCAAATACATAGTTTCTTTTTTAATATTCACAAGCAGATCTGCAAACTCATTGTTCGTATCCAAGTCCTTCGATCAAGTTACGATTATGTTGGCGAGCATCGCTAATATATCTCCTTCTTTAAATTCCACTCATTTTGAGAAGGGCTCATTTTGAGCTGAAATAATAGCATCGTCACGGAAAGATACATCACGTGACGTAACAGTGTCGAGCGGCGACCGGGAGAAGTTGCTAGTATTGTGAGCGATAATCGAAAACTTCGTCGCAGTATCGCTAGAAAGATCTGCAACGATCACCAGACGGTATGACGACGACCGTCCGAACATCGGTGCCGACGGTCAAGGTCCGCCATTGGGACACTCGTGCGACTCGTGCATCTAACCGGCAAATCTTGGTTAGAAAAGCGGCAGCATGCGGAACTAGAAATAAATCTTCCGTGCGTTCTCCGCGCGCGCTCCACACAGAGACATACATGTGCGCGCGAGCGCGCGTGAACACCCGTGCACACGCACGCCCCCCCCCCCCCCCCACACACACACCACACCACACACACGCCACACATACACACATATACACACACACATACACGTCCCACACACGCATACACGTACGGTAGCACACCGATATTATTTCGCGCGCGTGCAGTCAGGGCCACGGTGACCTTAACTACCTTCCTCCGCACCTCTACCGCCCCCTCTCGTTGTTGGCACCCCATTCCGCCCCGCCACACCTCTTCGTCACCGAGCGATGCTGCATTCGAGGGCATCGGGGGGCGCGGGCAGGGGAAGGGGCACGTGCCGCTCGTGATGACGTCACGTGGTGTGCACTGCGACGCGATGCACCAACGGCGCCGCCGGGTCCTCGCGCGTGTTACCGCTCTGAGATCTAGGTCCATATGCAGACGTATGCCGATGGACGTGGATATTCTGGCGCGTGATACGTTTTAATAGTATTTGGCTCACGTCGACCACAATCCGCAATTTTTGAGGCTTCAGCCTGAATTTGATAAATGGTACATATGCACGTGGTCGAGAAGACAATTTCGAGCGATTGACGGTGACATATACATTTGCATAGATCTTTTATTCAGAAACTGTTCGCTTTGTTTCTCATTCGTCGCGGATATATTACTTTACGATAATTTAATCGGAATTTAGAAAAGAGGATTGAACTTCATCAATGAAGTGGGTCAAAATCGTCCACGCCTACTTGAACGATACCTGAGCTACACGTTATAAATTTCGACTTCATAATTCTAATGAGTTACCGTTGCTCCCCTAGTGAAACTAGTTCTCAAGTTCAATAGAAAAAAAAAAAAACCAGTTTTCACGTGAGGTTTGAAGATTTAGGTCCACGTGTCGCGCAACGCGCGTGCACGACCTTTCGACAAACTTTAATTCGTGCCAATTGCAATCTTCACATTTGAGAGGCTTATGTATGAGTCAATTCTAAGTAGAATCGTATAAGGCTCGTAATTTGTTCTCGTAAGAACTTGTAATTAAGTCTTGTAAGAACTTATGACCAGAGTTATAATTCTATACGTACTATAAGACATATGATCGTTCATAAATATCTATAATGATTTCTCGTAAATCTTACGGCTAGCAAGAAGCCAAAGAACAAAAATCGGCGAGGAAATTTTGCTTCACGCAGCGGAGTTTTTCCTCCGCTTTTGGAAGAAAATCTTAGTTTTGCCGGAATGAAATGTATATCCTTTTAAACAAAGAAGTTTTACGTTAATAAAAAATTTTTCTAACTAATTCTTATGGCCGGGTTCGTAATTCTCTGAAAAAAATCCGTCGTGTTCCTAGGCGATTTTTACCGAGTTATCGTGATCTCATACCTGTAACAAATTCGATCGAGGCGTTACGGGTGCAGACACGTGACGGAGACAAAGGAAATCTCCACCGGCACAAAATGCACTCGATATGCTCCCGTCGATACGCTCGACTACGGCACTGCGCACGTGGATGCGCGTACGTGCACGCGTGCGCGCGCGCTTCGAATACGCGGGCGGAGGACAGGCGTGCAGGGGGAAGCGGGGAGGAAGTGTAGTACTCTGTCGCACTCATTACACAATACAATACACTCGACTGGAACTTCCTGACCATATCCCTCCCTCTTGTTCTCTCTCTCTCTCCCTCTCTCTCCCTCTCTCTCTCTCTCTCTCTCTCTCTACCTATCTATCTCTATCTCTATTTCTATCTCTCTCTCCTCTCTTCCTTCCCTGCCTGTCACCGTTCATGGATGCCGCGATATGGGAACGGTGGCATCGTCTCTCTTCTATCTTGATCGAATGACCTTTCTCGCGATGACGAGCACTAGGCGATGAGAGAATCTAGGGAACGCCGACGACCTTGGTTGCCGTGTTCGTAGAGATATCACCGAGCCGGTCAATTGGGTCAGGTGCGCGCCGATACGCAGCAGGTAGGGTGGCCATCTTTCTCTCGGGTGTGACTGGGACAATGGGGTGGCTAGAAGAAATTGGGATATTTCCTAGTTTTTTTAAACGGACGAAACGTCTGCGTATATTTCCAATTTCTTTTATTAAGTTTTCACAGTTATTTTTCTATTCGCCGAATGTATAATATCACAATGAAATAAGCGTTGGCACTAACGGTATTATGAACGATGTTTCGCTTGGAATTTTGAAATTTTAATAAAGCAAGACAACGAAAACGTCATATCTGATTATTTAATCATGCATTGAAATGCGAAACCAGAGGAAGCGGAATATTGTAAAAAACATAAAAGAAAAAGAGGAAAAAGATAGAAAAAAAAAGGGAACGCCCGAAGACGATGTTCAGGAAAGAGGACACGTCCATGGAAATCTGGTTACTTCAAGTTACATGAGTATTTACGAGTGAAAGTCGAAACCGCATGCATTAGGCTTCGTAAATTACATCGGCGGATCTGATTGACGTTCAATATCGCGAATGACGCGCAAATATTTTCATCTGACGACATCATCGACGTCGATTGACTCGAGATGAATGACTTTAAACGCTTGCGGGCCGTTCGCGACCACCGGTGAAAGTAGGAACCTTCGGTGTAAACTGGGTTACAAATAATATTGATCCGAGAGAAGGTGATGGAGGAGGAGGTGGCGGCGATGGTGATAGTGGTCGTGGTGATGGTGGTGGTGGTGGTAGTAGTAGTGGTGGTAGTGGTGGTGGTGGTGGTGGTGGTGGTGATGGTGGTGGTGGTGGTGGTGGTGGTGGTGGTGGTGATAGTGGTAGATTTGAGTCGCGTTTGCACGCGGAGACTGTTCCAACGATTCCCCGTTTTTTCGATAACTTATACATACTTCCCCGTGTTGCATCCGTAATTTGCACGGCGACGCCATTGGCGAATGCCTCCCCTTTCAACCAGAGGTTTTCCCGCACTCTAGATATCGATAGGTTGCTACACGAGAGATAATTAAGAGGAAAAAGTAACTGTTGTTGCGATGGGCACGCGAGATTACTTATCTCTACTCGTATTACAAGTCAGATAACGAACGTAGTAACAACAAGCATCTCGAATGCAAATTGCATTACAGAATGCTTTCCAATGTTAAAAAAAATTGGAGGGAGCTTCATTCCAAAGGGAAATGATACGTAAGAGATACGCGATGAAGGATTAACTCTAGAATGATTAAAAGATGAAAGAGATACTTTTGCGTTCATTATTAAAACAAAAATACAAACGCTAAACAATAATCTTTCTATCGATATTTTGTCTGAAAATAACCCAACACTGAGGAAAATTTGTAGTTAAAAATGAACCAGAAGATTCTTTCTTCATATTAATCACAATTCTGGTTATCTCAATTAGAATTACAATAAATGCAATCATAAAATTCCGATTTATCCATTTCCGACCAGAGTTCCAATTAATGCAACTAGACTCTTTTACCAGTGTAAGGTTAAAAAGGAGTTTCGCCGTCTGCAATTTCGCACCTGCGAAATCTCCAGCGAGCAAGTATCTAATTACGCGGAGAGCGGAAATCGGGCTTACCTGTTCGCTTTCGAAAGTCGCGCAAGCGCCTGGCTCGGTCTCGATCGGGTCCTGGTTGACTTTCGCTCGAATCTGAAAAAGTCATAAAACAGAGGCAGGTTTTTAGCGAGTTCGGCCGGTTAAGGGGCCACGTTCATCTTAGCGGCTATTTCGGGAGCGGAACGCCGCCTTGCCATCCGCCTTGCCATCCGCCTTGCCATCGCTCGTCGTCGCCATTTCCCGTGCAGGCGGCCGAAAGCAGCAAAAGTGCGCGTACCTAAGATTAGCGCGGGGCGATAATACCTCAAGGTCCGGCTTGTTAGCCGTCTTACGAAATACCAAAAAATCACCGCACGCGTGTGTTTACATCCTTGGCTCGGCCGGCGCGTGCTTATGTCATCATCATGTGCGCGAGCTTGGCACGCACGACGACGACGACGACGAAGATGACTTCAACCGCCTGCTCTTTGCAGACTTCTGCATCTCTGACCGGTCAGGGACGTCGCTGACAGCACGCAACAACTGGCGTGGTTCAAATCCATGAGACAATCGAAATTCTAGTATTCTCTCTCATCTACTGATTTCCAGCGATATCCAAAATATCCTATTCGCGTTGCATATAAATGCTCTGCATTTTCACTCGTCAAAGTTTGAAGTGATTTGATTCGATTAGGTTAATTCAAAACTTGGAAAAGATATAAATAGTTATATACACAATTTTGAGAACAAAAAGATAATATGGGGAAATATAGATAATAATTTATATTAGCTTTTTAATATAGAGATATTATATCTTAAAATTAAATTCTATTTTAATCCTTAAAAATTGCAAACGCGCATATTGGCGATCTTTAAGTAGAAATTCTCGATGTGATTCCAAAGTAATGCGTGACATCTCATTCTCTTCCTGACCCTCTTCTTTTTTTGCACGTTACATGAAAATTGGCCGTTACGAAACGATCGAAAACGACTTCGTTTTCACTGGCTCGAAAAGAAAAAACTAGTTCCCTCCGTCATCTCAAAAACAGACCCGTTACTCGCCAATGTCGATTAAATCTGGCGAGTCGGTTATATCGATCAATCAAAAACGTTATTCTTTTGCTGTAGTTATTTCTACTATATGACATGTTTATCTTGTTAATGGCATCAACTACAATCAGTTTCAAAAATATAACGTTATAAATCGTAAATTAATATAAAAAAAATAATATTTCAAAGATAAAACCAAATTTGAATGCAATATATTATAACATGTGATATCCTCAAATAATAAGACGAAAATGATCTTCGATACAAATTCTGTGTTTATACAGATACTGTTCACAATAATTGCGGTAAATTATATTTCTTTGTTTGTAAATGGAATCTGTAAATCGACTTTAAACTCGAGCCGCAATAACAATTATCAATTCTGTACGTAAGAAATACGAGAGAGACAATCCCGACGGAAAACGAATCAGATCTAATCCAGTTGGAACGATATACGCGTGCAACGTGCAAGGCTCACCCTGGTGCCCCACGCCTCAATGTCTTACGCAATAGACTTATCATATTTGCGCGCACGCGTTGGCGTTAATTAAGCTACCACATATTACTACGCGAATGCAAAAAGAATTAATCATGGAGACGTAGCTTCTCGAAGGCCATTAGATATTTATCATGGTGAATTTGTATTCCCATTGCGACGGTCGCTTGAATGTGTGATTTTAATGTATGCTTCAAGGAAGTCATACTTTATGCCACTAATGCAAAAGACGCTTTTATTATGCTTATGCATAAGAAACTGACGAGCAGCGTGACGTGAAATTTATGGTATTCAACTTGAATCAACGAAACGTTCGAATGCCAACGAATAATTAGATCGCGCAACGAAAGTTCTTAGACACGCGTTGTAGAAACGCGAGCTACGTTTAGTTAGAACTAGTTTTCATGAAAATCATTTCTCGTTGTCTGAGAACTTGACAAGAGCTGAATTGGGCATGCGTTGACGCGACAGTGTATATTATTCACAAAGATTAAGGTCAGCGAAGACTCTGAAAGACGACAGGCGAGGGCAGAGCTTGGTGTTAGAAATAACGCGAACACGCGACTCTGAAAACTAGTTTCAAAGGTCACGGTGGCGTTTGATAAAGAGGCAGCGGAAGTCGCTAATGCTTTACGGCGGTAGCGAAGTAAATAAGCTCTTCGAAGTGTATGTAACGTGTTAATCGGCTGTAAAACGAGGAACAATCCGTGGAAGTTGTCCGACGAGGCGAATTTCTGGAGAAAGCTAGAAATTTCCTCCCACCAGCAAAACCGATTAGCACGCTCAGTGAACTTGTGCGAGACAATACGGATTATCGACATCGTCGCATAACATGTCCCGTCGATGGAGGAGGTGAACGAACACCAGAAAAGGTTACTCACCTTTTTACGTGGGTGTTGTTCCTCGATATAGTCGGGCACTATTCCCTCATCCAGCGTAGTCGAGCCCGGGGTGCTGCTTGACGACGAGCCGGACGTGTTGTAGGGGTAGTGCGGCTGATTGTGCGAAGGATGTGAGGTCGCCGGACACGGAGAACTTCTCGTCGGTACACCCTCCTCGCTAAGGGGTGGACTGGGAGTGCCGCTTCGCCAGGAAGCCCCGCTGCTGCTACTGCTATTTGACATACCGCCGACTCCCGGTGAGCCGGCGATCATGCCGCTGCCTCCGCCTCCACGACTCCCCCAGGAACCTGCCGCAGATCAAATTCCTTCCACATTCATTTCGGTCCGGCCAATTACCGCAGAAGCTCGGTTCGTAGTTTGGTATATAATTCGATGTCTCGCGTTTACATGAGACATCACGTACATAATAATACGATACATGAATAAATTATTACTTATTATTTATTATTACTTATTAAATTGTTATACTCATCGATACTTATTTTCACTATTTTTCAGTATTTTTTAGAGAATCGATCGCTCGCAAAGAGCAATCTTAACGTAAACGAACCGACGTCCGAAAGGAAATCCTTGTTATAGAAAGGAGAAAAGTACGACGAAGTTTCTGAGATTACAAATAAAAAAAAAAAAAGAATTTACTCTACACCTGCTTTTAACATCTTACACCGTATTTTGTGGGAATGTCAGAAAAATGAGCACAGTACCGTAATTGTATTGGCAGTGAAGTGGCGGGGGGTTGTGAGGACTGTGAGGTGAGCACGAGAGCGACATAAGGACCAGGGCGGCAGCGCATTCATCCATGCAATCACCGCGTTCGTTGGTGCGACAACCCTCACGTCCGCAGACCACCCTCTCGCCCCAACCGTATGTCCGGTCGGAATCATTGTTCGAGCTTGGCCGTCGTTTCCTGGATCTGAAATATACATTACCACATGCTATAGGCTCGCTAGATTATATAGCGTATATGCGTATATCCGCATACTGCACGTTGCTATTTCAAATTGAAAATTCGCTATTACCCTACTTCAAACACGATTCATTTTTCGCGGTGACAAATTAAAGAATTTCCGATTTTATCTCGATTAATCGAGAGGAATATTATAGGACTCTTTCGCGAAATGTATTTCGCGTGTGTATTCTGAAAACAGATATTCGCCTCGATTCTCGATAATCGCTTTCTTTTTCAGTGGAAGCAATTAATTTTCGAATTTCCGCGTTTCCACGGAAAGAGAACGATGCGTATATCTATAATGTCAATTCGTCGATCTTGGACCGAAGAAAGGCAACGCCTTTAAACGGTGTGGTGCGATCGGTGCGGTAGGTCTTGCAACAGAGAATACAATATTGTGGCAAAACGGGCCCAAAGTAATTTCCTTAAGAGCTCTCGTCGAATAACAGCATAGAAGGTAATCGACGCCAGAGTTACGGGCGGTGTTTCTGGAATTACGTTTTCCTGAAACCGCATAAAATGATACGTTCTCCGTCTCTCCGTTTCACTTCGGAAACGCCGAGCGAGATCGCTGTTGTCGTACGGTAATACCCGGTAGCAAGGTACCTATAAGCCGATATAGTCACTTTTCCGGGAAAGACTATAGATTTCCGCGTAAATACTGCACGTGGAGTATGTACCGTTTGTATATAGACGCTCGTACGGGTCGACGTCGTTTGAGTCGTTTCCTCTACAACTACGAATGCTTTCTCCGACCGGACGGAGTGAACCAAGTGAAACGTGTGTTCAATATGAATCAACAAGAAATACACAATACGACACAATCTGTCTTCGGACTAGAGAAATTTACAAGAAAATTGAAAATTGGTAATTGCCTTCTCAATATTTCAATAATATTTACAAATTATGCAATATCGCACGAAAAAACTTCCGATATTGAGACGATATATTTTCTTCTCAAATTATCGGAATATATCGAGATGTAATAAATCAAGACAGAGAAATTAAAGAAAAGGATTGTAATCAATTAAATAATCAATTGTTAATTTGCTCGATATCATGCAAAACCCATACGGAATTAATGGTTAATAATACAAAGTAATATAATTCAAATTATATAAACGTTAAACGTAAACATATGTTTTTAATTTCTTTCGTCTAACTCGATGAACTTACAATACAGAATCATCAGGGACTTATCGTCTAACTTTTCAAGAACTTTTCAAGAGATTCGCGTAATCTCTCTTTCCTCTCAAAGGTAGCGGATAAATCGCTGTTGCCGATGCAGCTTTCAAGATGATTATCGTTCACTGCTAGGAATAGCGGACTCTCCTGGAGAAGGTGGTTCCCTCTCGGGCCCTCTCGAGCCTACGGAGGACAAAAATCACTAGAGAGGGGGCGCGAAAATGACGACGTAGTCAAGGCCGTCGTCGCTAAGTCAGCCGTTCCACTCCCGAAGCGGTACATTGAGAGTCGAAAGTGAAACATGGAATACCGGCCGGCATAGAGAATGACGCACGTACTAGCCGGTATTTCGAAAGCAACACCTCCCAAGCACACACTTATGCACAGCTGTCCCGTTTCCTCCGTGCACCAACCATTATATGTGTCACGCCACTTAGAACTGGCGAGGAGGCAGGCGAAGGTTACGCTTTCGAGCCGGTACAGTAACGAAGAAATGCCTCAGGCATTTATCGACTTTTACGGAATCAGTGTCGCTCTTTTTTTATCGAGACTTTTGCCGAATTGATAATTTTTTTTATTTAAACGATAGTGCGATAAATATCGCTAAATGAAACGATGATCTCTACGTTCTTGTATCCCGATTCTGTAGCTCTTAATAGGCCTTCTATAATAAGCCATTAGTCATGAATCAGAAGTCAGAAGCTAAAAATTGACCAATCACAGTCGTCAATTTTAAATTTCTGACTTCTGATTCATGGCTTATTGTAGAAGACCCATAACAGTTCGGTATCGTTATGTTGTCGTTGCGCAGATATATAATATCTCTCTCGCATCGTCACTTAAATTGGTGATATTTACTACATGATTGTTCGAAAAAAAAAATTTTCGCGTCGGTATAAGAATCTCGATGAAGAAGGAACAACATTCATCTCGAATCGGAATACCGTCCACTTGAATGCTAAAAATTTCTTGCAAACCTGCGCGCAGGTTCACTATATTTTTCATTTCTCTGACTTTCCTATTTTTTTTTTCCACGGTTTCCTGGATTCGCGATTACACTCGATACACTCGCACGACCGTTGCCCGCTAATTGCGAGATTACGATCGCTTTATGATTGCCACGGAAACGGCAGATTCAAGGAGTTTAATTGGAACGGCGCGAGAGGGGAAGCGAGTTCGAAGCCGTTTACTTTTGAGGTGAAGCCTTACCGTTACTCGGTATACACGAATTACACCGATATAGATTGAGGGATTGCAAACTCGCGAGATAATCGGCACACGGTTGTAATTAAGACGAACCGGCACTTCTTGCGCGAGGGAATCCGCTGGCACGTAATTCAACCGGGAGTGCCTGAAAACAAGAAGTAACCGCCGGAAAACGCGTCGTTTACCACTCACTCGGACGAGCTCCGTCCATTACCAGCCAGATCGAATTTTTATCTATCCCCTTAACCCTGTTGTTCCGTTTGCGTTCTGTACGCGTTCAAGTACGCTTCAGTACACTGCGAATTATGCCTGTACATCTTAATACGATTTCAGTCGAACAAATCCGGTCTTTTTTTCTCCATGTCGCACAGAAGGAGACCCGCGATATTATCGTATTCGAAAATTGATAAGGAACGAAATCGAATGGAACTGATCTTCTTGAGATTGCCGGTTTTTAAAGAAAAATACGTGGATACGTACAGCGCTGAATTTTCAACAAACTGACATTGAAAATTTGCATGTAAAACAATATATACGCTATACCAGTCGATTTGTTACAGATACACCGTCATCTTATTATACAATACTGATTATTCACGTAATATCAATTATTAAGCAATAAAAAACAGAACATAGTTGAAAAAACATGCCTTAATAAATGCACGATGTAAGTAGCTAGATAAGCTGTCTGAAAAAAGAATTTTACACGTTGAAATGTGTTCTCGCAGCGAAACGGAAACTTGTCAATCTTGTTTCGCGTGCAAAATTTTACAACCACGAAGAGAAAAATAAACCGGCTCAACGTGATTTCTTCTTTTGTCATTAAATGGATTTTGGATTTACAAACTCGCCGAAATACTTCCAAGGTGGACTGGAATCAAACCTTTAACGTTTGCCTTGGAGTATCGCGTATAAATTGCGTGCAAGCGGAAAAAAAAATTGCCGTGAGAATTAAGATTTCGGCCGAGAACCTTTCCTTGACTCTAATTATCGCATTAATACAACGAGTATATTCATATCCATAAGTTAACTACGTAACTGCAAACAACTGCTCTTTACGTTCCCTTGTATACCGAGTGTATGGCAACAGACATGTTTACAGCACTCACCACATTTCCTGACGAAAACTTACTTTTACTCGACAGTGTTATAATATGAAGAGAATCACATTAATAATTAAATTTGCGAAATTAATTTCTTTTTAAATGACTTATGTTTAAATGATTTTTATGCCAAGTCATATTTGTCTAAACTAAAAACAAAATTTCAGTTCTAAATAGAATTGCCACTATAAACTTTAAAATATTCTTTTTTCTTTATTTAGAGAGAAATTGTTGATTCTCTTCTTTTCATTTAAAATTTAATTATTCTAATCTTTGTTTTTACTATTTAATATAAAACTTAGTGATAGTACTTTTAATGGTCTAATAATTTCTTATTTAGTAATAATTACAACGTTTATTCATTTTCATAATTTTATACAAATATACACGGCAAGAAACATTATGCTGAAATATTTAAAGATTCAGCTGAAAATAATTTTTGTCGAGCCATCAAAATAATTATACAAGAAACTCAAGCATATTTAGCAATGCTGCAAAAAAATTTGATTATTCTAGTAACAAGCATTCTACATAATTATTTAATTGAACAAAATTATTTTCAGATCTATATTTAATTAAATTATTTTTTAATAATTCAGCAAAACTTCCGTGTACCTACGTATAGTCTCAGGAAAAAGGAGAAGATATTCGTTTCTCGAAGAAATTCAAAGTTCAAATGAATATTGACATCTGATCTTTGCACAAGTAGAGTCTGAGGTAACCATAAAGCCATTAGCGAGAACGACTTTATGGTATACGGCGTGGTGTATCTATCCGTTATGCGGCCACGCTATATGCCGCCGATACGTATCGCACCTTCTGACAAGTCAATCGAGCTTGTTGGTGGAAATTGTAAAGTGGTACACACGCCTGCATAGCCGACGTGTACACGCTGTGTTATTAGCGTCGTGACATAATGTTACGCAACGCGATCAGTTGGAGGACGAGCGCGTGAGTTATGCGTTACACGCAGTGACAGATACATGAGTTTATGGATCATTATAAACGTACGTCCGCCGATTTCTCTTCATCTTTTTTCCCCGAGTGATTATCTCGGACGCAAACATGAAATTCGAACCGCAAATCACAGATTTGCTTCCACTCGCACATAACGTAGACGGAAGACTGTTAACGGTTCTCCGACAACGAGCACAGTTCGCATCCGCATCCGAGTTAGACTCTCGCAAAAAAAATGTGGTCCGTGGGGACTTTACTTTGTGTCTAACTTTCATACGCCATTCAGCGAGTTTGCAATTCGAAAAGCGGACCAACCACGTTGATCGCGATTTTTCATGTGGAAAGTTATGCGATAGTTTTCCATGAGTGTCAGTCCAGACGGATGGACTGATGAAGGGATAGAGAGTTTACCGTTCTAGAGCTTCTAGTCTTCTAAGAACTGATCAAAGTAAAAATACCATTGATATAAAAAATAAAGAAAATTTACATCAATTAAAGAAAATTAATGACAAA